TTATTTTCGTAAGTAATAAAAAAATGTCAGCCGATATTTTTTTTTTTAAATTTAAAGTTTATTATGAAGTAAATTGGGGGACGGAGTGTTAATTTCACCCCACACTATCCACAAGTCAGGTGCCTGTGAAATTGTTTAATAGTTAGATACTGCTTATTCTATTATTGATTGCTCTGGCTATGGAAATATCCTTAGACAGATTAAAATGTAAGCGAATTGTTTTAATAATTACATTGTATGGAAGTCTCAAAACATGAAAAACATGATACAGCTATGGTTTGTTCCTTTCATTTGAGCAATCTTAAAATAACGAAAGATAATTGGTACATGGAATAAGATCAAGTCCAATTAATAGTTTTACAAACAAAGCCCAGTATATTGGTGGATAATTTATTACGAACACGACACAGGCAGTTGCTGACAAATAATTCTCGCAGTAGTACTAGTGAAGCACTTATAGTTACTTTACTTTCTATACATACATGGAAAATCAACCGTTTATTTGTTGAGGAAAATCTTATCGACTGTCACTCTTTTATTGCATTTTTTAATTATGATAATATTCGATTGTCGTTTCATTATTCGATCGTCGGTTCAATGACTGTTCGTTGACATCTCTATTTCTTATATAATTTTTTTTGGCTTCCTGACCACTTTCAAAATGCAATTTTCTTCTAACTCGATAAATCATTTTAGCAAATAAACCATAAAGATATTTTTCTTTGAATTGTTCTTTTGAATAAAATATGCACACATCGCCACAGTAGATCAGACTGACCGGACGTGCCTCTAGGATCTCTTCAACATCAAAATTTAAAATGTAAAAAAAAAAGGTTTTGTAGCGTAGTTGTAGTGTAGTAGAATTTTTTGTTTTCATTTATTTTGTTTGATCATGACTTTTTAACCTGTTCTACATGTATGTCCTGAGGAAGGGAGAGAGCGTCTCGAAAATTAGACACGTTTTATTGTTCGTGTCATTGATATTGATATTCATATATCGTCAGTCAATTTTAGTGCTTTATAGATTGACAATAATATATCATGATTTATTGGAAATTCGAAATAAAAACTTTTATAATAAATTATTTTTAAAGAAATCTATATGAATCTTGAAACCTTTAACACGTCATATGTGTAACAACCCCCCCCCCCCCAATTAGTAAAATAAAGTAAAAAAGTAAATCAATACGTTGTTGGTGAACCTTACCCTGTTACATGAAATTTCCTCTATCTACTTTGCTCAATTTGAACCCTTTGTCTCTTCCTACATAACTCACTCCTTCTACACACAACTTCTATCACACATTTATATTACAAAGGAAATTTACATTCCAATTTTTGAAAACTTGACCTTGTTAAAGAGATTTGGGTCGATGTCTGAACACTTCCTCTTATGATATGCAACCTGTCTGGTTACACGATAACTTCAAAATCGTCTAAGGATCTAAGGAACTAAATTATCTAAGATTTAACTTAACATACCTCATGAGAAGAACCGACAACGACAGCAGATCTACAAATGGAAAACAATCATTTTCATCAACTTGTATACGTTTCTGTTTATTAACCAACAATACAACAGCGGCTCAATCGCCTTCTCATACAAGGTATCGAGTATATGTTACACGAATTCGAACCTATTTACCTGTAATGTAACAAAATTGACCATTTCGCTAAAAACCCCAATTCATTATAAGCGTGTTAACTTGAAGCGTGTTTTACTGTATAGATTTGAAAAAGATACACATAAAATCATAATTATTCTTAAAATAAATATTTTATGATGTTTTTAAATCCAGTTAAGATGTTAGATCTAAAATTTGATTTGGGACTACTGTACACAGATAAAAGTGACAAGCTTTTACTGGATTTCTTCCTCTGAATGTTTGTATGCTGTTTTAAGTTCCATTTGAGAATCTTTCACTCATAAAAAGACGTCACCTTTGCAGTGAAGAGCTTCAAGTTAGACATACGCGGCATTTAAGGCCATTGCTTAGTGAGTTTTCTTTATCCTGCCAACGCCATACCTGACAAGGGATCTCCGTTTTAAAGGTCATATCCGAAAGACCGTAGACTTTCACTTTATATGCTGGAACAGTCTCTACCTATATAAATGTCTTAGGTTTGACGCGGTGCCGGGAACGAGAATCGAATCCGGTACCTCTCTATCACGAAGCAAACACCTTACCATTAGGCTACCGCGACTGATCGATTTTATTGCTTTGAAAGGAAACTAGGGTAAAATTTCTTAGTCCTTTCTGGAAAAGCTTAAGGATTCCACCGCTGATGTTTTCAGGGGCCCACATTTTCTTCAGTCTCTATTTGCAATTTTTGAACATAATAACTTGTTCCTATCTTCTCATTTCATGTAACATTCGGACAAGTTTTTCTGTTGAAAACCGTCATACTAATATTTGAAAATATAGGACTGGTAACGTCATATGCTCACCATTTCTTGAAGGTAGCTCGGTTGGGAAAATGCATTTTTCTTTATTCATGAAAAGCAAAGGGTTTAGAGGCAATCTAGACAAACATTGGTGTAAAGTATAATAGGGAAAAGGGACCCAACAAGACGCCATTAATTCCTGGGTGCCTCGCTTCAAACTCAGTAGAAAAAAACAGAATATTGTCCTTTATAGTCACAAATAAATCATTGTATTAAGCCCATTAAAGCTTGATAAGAATATTCGAACTTCTTAGAATTAGTTCGCCGTAATCATCCCTTCACCATTTTTCCCCATGAAATACTTGTTCATTACTTGATTTTTACTCAGTTGTCATTTGTTGCACTCACTCATAAGGTTAATAGTTAAAATATAACCTCACAATACTCAAATGACTGTTGTGTGTCCTTCTCGTGAAATCAGATCCATTTTCTCCGAGGATTAACATCAAAGATCAATAGGGTTAACCATATCGAAAGAATTCTGCATTGAGAGACTTAAGTTTAAACGTTGAAAGACGATTGGATAATATGGCAGTTAAAATGCTGAGTCAATAATAGTTAACCTGATTGAAGTCTAAGGTTTATCGCTGGTGAAAACTGAAATATTTTTCTAAACCAAAAATATCATCGTTATTAGGCTGTTTCTCGACAATGTATATATTCCTCTGTCGTTGTACATATTCATTTCAATTTGATATAGAAATAAGTACTTTGAATGCTTTAACAGGATAACTGAGGAAAATGACATCAGTTTTGAATTGTGCGAACACAATGTCATAATGATTCGAATGATTCTCAAATACAGTCCTCGATCTTTATTACGTTTGTCCCCAAAAAAGGTTACGTGACTGCACTGGTTGAATATAGGGTTTTGAATTGAAACTAAACCCGGATACCATTACATTGGTTTCCATGGAAATGACAAAAAAATTATATAACCTAGTAGGTAAAGCACGAATATCATTCAAAATAAATCTTGATCAAAATGAAATTCATTTTTAAAACAAGGAAATGGGAATCTTGTGAAAACTTTAAGCCATTCACAAACTTTTCATGAAAATATATTAGCATCGTCACACGCTACGGACAATTTCTACAAATCCATGACTCAGAAACTGCTGCAAAATTCCCTCGTTCTTGTGAATAAATCACTAAACATTTACTAAATGATGCTGGGTTTATGTTGACCAATGGAATCTTTTTGTAGCAATTTTGGATACGTTTACAAATGGCGGCACCCATAATAAAATGCTGCCCGTTATCCGTGGCAAATTTATTGATAAATAGCCTGAAGAACAGATTCGAATAAAATATGTCATAGATAAATTATCAAATACTTATAAAGCTAAACATTAAAAGGCAGGAATTTGCTTGCAGATGTTTTTGTGAATAAGTTAAATAGAGTTACTCGTTTTGACAAAAAAATTCGAACCAAAGTAGCTCTTATTGATCCAACACCTTAAGGAAGGATTTTCTATCGTTTTCATTGTAAAAATTGTTTTTGAGGAAGAGCGTCAGAGCATTGTTTTTTTAGTTGAATGTGTGTCATGAAGTATTTAGGATTGATTGATTAAGGTTTTACGCCGAATCGGCAGTATTTCAGCCATATATCGGCGATAAAAAGTAAGATCATGCGGCCAGTTTAATAGTTGTGAAAATGAGAGATTTTCGCAGCAGTCAGTCATCGGTTTGTGGAATTAGAATGAACAGAAAACTCACGACTTGCAACGATGCGTTATGATCAAATCTTAATAATCACCAATGGTACCTTCCGTAACGCTCATTATGACCCACCGAGATGCTGTCCTGCAAATCACATTTCATTCCTATGAAATTTAGTTTCAAACATTTATTTGTTTATTTCTGGTAAAATCCTTACTTCCAAGCATACTTTTAGGTGTCAGAAGCACATTTGATCAACCTTGAAATATATTTTTTTCATTTCAAAGGGAAACGAATATTTAACAAAATACATTAAACAAACTACATCTGCACATGCCTTTTTCTGAATATATACTATCAAAAGAAAAGAAAAGTTCTTTTTTATTCCGTGTAGATAATTTTTACTTAGATAAATATTTTAAACAGGCGCTGCATGAGTATGTCTGCGTATATATTGAAGATGAATTAACCGGTAGGGATACGTTTAAACCTACAGGTGTTTATATTTTTTCTAACAGCATTCATATATTTACGGTATTTAAAGGTGTAGTCCCTCCTCAGGGTTTATTTTACAGATAGTTAAACGTTATTTTTAAATGGTGAGATAATGGAAATACCCGACAAGATACAGATTATGAATGACATATTTTTGCCGCTACCAGATATGCTCAATTCATATATCTTTACCTGCAAGTTTAGTTTTAGTTAGTCTAATATAAACATCCAAACCACAAAACCGCAAATTTGGTGGGATACGCTCAGTGATCTCTATAGTAAGGTTGCATTTAACTGTCAATATAAATAACTATTAATTAATTTTCATTCTTCACTTAATATATTTTAAAATGCTTTGTGATAATAATTTCTATTTTTTTTTAGGACTTTTTCATTTCAATTCAGAAGATGAAGATGCATTTCGCATTATTCACCACAGTGGCCACTGCAGTTGTTTTGCTCACAGTATCAACGGTAAGATTACAAACATTTAACAAAATGGTATGCATTAATCAGTTATTGTATATTTTATTGTATATCGCCTTTAGAAAAAAGTGAAAATACCGATATTTTACATAGAGGAAAGTACAAGTTGCTTATTGCAATAGAAAAGTGAAATATTAATGTAATTATTGTAATGGTTTATTTTGTTTTTAATCCATATGAATAATTTGATATTTTTTTTTCACGAATCATTCATTCTATAGATATATATAAATGGTGAGGAATGTAAAGAATCAGAATCAAAGAAAACTGCAGTACGTGTAGAGAGCTGCCCAAGATCATCTAGGGAATGGGAAAAAGCGGCAGCAAGGAAAGGATGCAATACCATCAATCCTTCTACCTCTTGTCACTTTGAATACCACTGCGTTATAAATGCTTGGAAGAATGAAACAATAGAAGTGTGTGCACCAGGAAAAGTTATCGTTGGTGAGAGCTGCATCATGCAGTAATATAATTTTCTCAGTTTATATTTACGGTACGATGTCTCATTTTTAATGCAATATTTTAATGTTACGATAATTGTTGTTAGGAAAGGTCTGTGCAGAATACAGTTTTGGTGGGTCCAGAATACAGCGCAACTATGCCGCAAAATGCCATGGATGCCCAGACTCTTATAACTCTAACGAGAGCTTAAAGTGTAAGTTTTACTTTGACATTTATGCTGTTAGAGATAAAAATTGTATTATCTAGGGAGAAGAGAATTATTTAGGAACTGCGTCTTCTGCTTAACATATATTACAAGTTTTAAATTAAACTTATCGTATATTTGTATGAAACATTAATTTAGAGATACTGAATTAATTTTTCTTTTCCATGTGTAGATTCTGAGTGCTACGATTTAGTCTCAAATGCACGTAAAACAAGCAGACCAGTAGTCACTACTACACCATCTACTTTAGAGACCACTATCACAACAGATAGTATAACACCATTAGCACTTTCAAATCAGAAACAGGTGTCAACGGAACAAGAACCAAAATCTGATCTGGATATCGAGATAATGTAATTAACTCTTGTTTTTCCTGTATATGTATAGGACACACGCCACATTAAATTATAACGTTTTACCGAAAATTAAACATTTGATATGCTATTTTTTTTTAATATCAAACGAATGAAACATTCAAATAATTTTATTTTGCAGCATCCCCATCTGTATTGGAATTGCTGCTATTATAATTTTTATTCTGATATGTCTGGTACAACGTTCAAGGAAAAAATGTTTCTTTATAGAAGGTTCCTGCAGATATAACTGTAATTTCTTTAAATACATCTTTTTTGGAGGAGAAACGAATGTATAAAATGACTAAATGTATGTTTGTTTTCAAGGAACTTTATTTTGTAATTTTTCAGATATCTTGTCCAAGAGTTGCAGATTTTGGAAGAGAGAAAAAAGTAAGATTCATTGAAAAATGCGTCTTAATCGTTATTTGCTTATCTGCTTATTTCATTATCTGATGAAATAGATTAAATTACTTTCTCATATATATATATATATATATATATATATATATATATATATATATATATATATATATATATATATATATATATATATATATACATGTTGACACGTCTCAAATTTTGTAATTTAATTATTTCAGGATCCAACCCTCATGACAATACAAATAAAGATACTGAAAACACACCATTAAAGGAGGAAACTACAGAACATTGCTTAGTTAAGATAGAACTATCATCGGAAGAACAACAACTTGGTGAGACATGCAATGTCTGATCCACATGTTGTATATATACACCTGTTAATGATATATATAGAATTGATAAAATGGCAGCTAATATTTTGTGTATTGTATTCATTAACTACATGCGCATATATATATATTGTTATATACTATGTTTACACTTAAATATTTTGATAATATTATTGTACTTTTTTAATTGTGCCAAACTATTTTCAATAAAATACGTATGACCTTTTGCATTTGTATTCCAACTTCCTCCATACTATATGTCTTGTGGGTTTCTTGGCGTTTTTCTTTCTCAAAATATGCCAATCATGTTGACGGAATTAATTTTGACTTTGCAAAACAGACGGAAATTTATCTTCTAGGTGAGTTTAGTATGCCAATTTTGGCAAGAGATTATGTAAAAACCAGTACCAGATGAAAGATACATTTTGTTTAAAACAGACAGATCAAAGTTGTTTTTAAAAATTTATACTGTGCAGATGACATAGTGCCAAAATAAGTTTAAATTCCTGCTATATAGTATGAAACTCATATCAAAAATGCAATCTATGGCCACCCGGCGCTGTCACTCTTGCATACTTTTACGTCTTGCACTGTCGACACGTTACAATTCTTAAAACAGTACTCTATCTATTTTTCTGCATCTCTGCGCTTTTTATAATGAAATGCCATCACTCAAGGACAAATTGATATCAGCCCTATTTATAAGTCCCAAGAGTTAGAATGTGTTTGAAGAATGTTTTTGAGTTGGATGGACGAGGGAGGGGGGGGGGGGGGCAAAATTTTGGCTCTCAAATTTACCACTATTTAACTACACTACGAGGTCGGAAACGTACTGATATTCCCATTTTTACTGTCAAGCTTAGATTATTACTGTTAATGTGCTGTTTTTACTGCAAAACTTAGACAATTACCGACCTTATTTACTGCTGATAATCTTAGTCGGTGCTGATAAAATCAGACAATTATTGACCCGTTTTGCTGTCCCTGCTGAAAAACTTAGACAAGTGTTGACATTTACTGATAAGTACTGTCCCTATATTTTTCTCACTCTCGGGGCAGAGGTGTGAAATTTATTTTTTTTTTTTACCTTTAAAGAGGGTTTAATTGACATTTTTTAAAAAAGAATTTTTATAACTATGTCCCAATGACATTTTTTCTTTTAAAAAAAGCTTATAGAAGAAATATTTATTTAAAAATATTTCATAAGGAAAATATATAAAACTTTTAAAACCTTTCAGCAGATAAGCAATTTATAATTCATTTTTTAATGAATGTTTATTAGCAAAATATGGCGTTTTACAGGGATCTTTTCCTCCTTATATATATATAAAAAAACTGATTATTATTTCTTATTCCCTCAATTTACATGTACTCCCTCTTTTTGTTTAACTATGTAAAAAATGAACTGTCTGGTTAGTGAAAATAGTCTTTTGATGTAGCTTTCATATGTAAATTTTTCTGTGGATGCTGCTTGCCCCCCTCCCCCTCCCCCAATTTGTGTGCTGTACAGCCAAACATACGCATATTCCAGCATATGAAAGAAATCAAAAATTTAGGAACCCTCCCTTCTGAAATAGATTTTCTTAAGTTTTTTTAAGTTTGGACAGTTTATTTATTTATTTTTTGAATATGGACCTGTATTGATATTCGTTTATACTTGATATTCATCCATTTAATATTTCCATTCTATTCTTTTGAAAAGAATACATCTTTTAGTTGATTTCCACATCTGAAATTTCTTGATCCCCACATGTGAGTGTTGTTATTTAGGTTATGACAATAAACCTCACCACTGCTCTCATGGTATATCCTTTGGTACTATTGAAAAAAAATACACGACTTTATAGTTGTAAAACTAAATATTAAAAAGACAAGCGTGATTCATGTATATACACAGATGAGGATGTTCATTTTATTGTAATCGAAATAAAATAAAAATAGGGATACAATAATATGTGTACATGTAAAATGTCTCTTCAAATAAAAACTTTCTTTTCGTTTTATGCATTTACTGTGAAGTCACTAATTATCGTGAGGGTTTAATTTTCGTTGCTTTCGAGGTATGAAAAGACTCACGAATTCATGTCCAACACAAAATGTAAAATGTCATATTCATACATGTAAGTGCTCAACAATTCTCACACAATTTTTCTTCAAACAATGAAAATTTGAACGCACGAAAATATGTGATTTTACAGTAAACAAAACTCTAAATCTAACTCAGTACTATTTTAAAGCAAATTAAAAATTGTTATTTTGCTATTGATTCAAATATTGATTCAAGAGTGTTATTTCCTTTTTAAAATACTGATATATTTCTTCCTCTATTTAAAAAAAAATACGAAGAGTCAAATCATGTACAATAAAACTCGTTTAGTACGAACATGGATATAGCGAAATTACAGATAAAGCGATTTTTTCTAAATCCCGGGCAAAATTTTTAACAGGCCCTTGTAAATTATATAACGAAAATTTATAACTAACACGGATATAGCAAATTTTCGGATATAGCAAACTTATTTTGTGTCCCATAGATGTTGAATCTTTAATGACGAATTTTCAAAGATGTTCATTTTTAAAATATTGAATTGACAGGGTTTTTTTTTTTATAGGTATTTACACTTGAAATTCATTTCGGACGAAAAGTTTCGAACTCCAAAGTAATTTTTGTATTTTATTCCTCCCTTAATACATTTAATGGTAATACATGATGAAAAAACTCTTTTTTGAAAAATTGATACATGTATGTATACTTTAACAAATTCGATTTTAATGAATTTTAATGAATTACGGATTTCGCGAAGTAAATTCAAATTTTCTCAGAATTTCGCTATAACCGAGGTTTAATGTTTACATTGCACTCTCCATATTAGATACAAACCGTTAATAACATATCCTAGGTTAAAAACTGAAAAGACATTAATTTTCTAAATACTTGTGCTTTACTTGAGAAAAGTCACAGAAATATGTGATCAAGATGGATGTATTTCTTGCGCTTAAACAATAGGACGATGTAGTTAATTAGAAATTAGCTTTTAATTTTGATAATTTCTGATATTTTTCGATTTTTTTTATGTCAATTGCTTGAAATCTGATCAACACAAAAATAAAGGAGGGATTCTTATCTGGTTAATGACTAGATGAAACATTCAAAGTATATTTGCTTATATGTCATACATTTAGATGTAAAGGGTTTAAAAAATCATATTTTCCTTTCCTCATCATAGTCGTACAACTTTAGATAGAAATGGTAAATTGAGTTTGAAATACAGCAGGGACTATATTTTTGGCGGAACGACAGCGTATGAAAACATCTCCTTTTCTGCTTCTCAAAATTACTGTAGAAAAATGAATTTAGTTAAAAATTTTGAACAATCAAAGACTTTAAAAAATGTCAAATGTAATTAAAATTTATAATAATGGGCTGGCGTTTTCGAATATATCAAAAAATTATAATTTCCCACACAAACTACAATTTTGCTAGATTTTAAAAGCTTCCAGTCCAAGTACAGATTTGAGCAAAAAATCTGATATAAGTGTTTTTTTTTTTCTCGCTTAGTAAATGATCAAAACTTTTTGTTTTCGTATCAATATGTATCTTTATATGACTACTCTACCATATGTATACATAAGAAAAATTTGAATATACGAAACATATAATAACAACTTATATATCCTAAAAAATTAAGAAAGTTAGAGGAAGTTCGGATTAGCCCATATCTATTTTAGTTGAAATATTCCTGTCATTTTGGTAGTATCATCAGAAAGACCTTATATGCTAATATCTTTTATGCAACATGATAAATATTCTTGCTTTTGAAATAGAAGTAGGCATCGCATGATTGACAATAGTATTTTTTTTTTAATTTTTATTGTAAAGGAAAAAGACAATAACCTTGCACTGACCTTGCTTCTAAAATAAAACAGTCAATTTTAATGTAATTCATACCATCACCCAGAGATAATGTCTTCTTGAATCTGTGAAAATTTCATTACGTTTTTAATACAAGAAATATGAGAAGTATCCCTCTTTAATAAAAGCACATTATCACAAATTTCACCGATATTGAGGTGCTTACACCACTGTTCCAACCTGTGATATTTGCAGAGGTCCTTGTTTGCTCTGTTTTCAATGTGTGATGTTTGCAGAGGTCCTTGTTTGCTCTGTCCTCAATGTGTGATGTTTGCAGAGGCCCTTGGTTGATCTGTTCTCAATGTGTGATATTTGCAGAGGTCCTTGTTTGCTCTGTCCTCAATGTGTGATGTTTGCAGAGATCATTGTTTGTTCTGTCCTCATTATAACAGGTTTATTTCTTAGAACCCCTATTAAGATTTATAGATAGAGACGTCAAACTTTTCAGTTGCATTTAAAAAGATAATATCTGATATCTATTCAAGATGAAAGAAAAAATGTTTTATTTCAAGTACCTGCGCTATGTGCAATCTATAAATCTATAATTGCATAATAAAAAAAACCCGGAAATACCTCAGTCATGTACAAACTGACCAGTTTAGCTTCAAATCAAAAGATAAGAAAAGAAAAATAAATCTGTACCAATTGGAAATAAATTTGTTAATGCTAATATTCAATAAATGTATGTCTTTATACAAAATGGTATTTTTTGCGAATTTGAATATGCATATTTTTTCAAACTTGGAGTAATGTATGAAGTTAAATGTTTTTGAGTTTTTACTATCACTAATGTTTGAACCAATAAGGAATACCTTTGTTACTGCTATTAACCAATAAATACATTTTCAAACACCAAATACATGTAGTATACTTCTGCAAATGTAAATATATATTTCTCAGAGTTAGGGTAAGATATTAATTTTAAATTTTGAATAAATCGAAGACATAAAAAATTACAAAAATGGTCCACAGACATGATGACGATAATATGTTCCATTTACATGTACTTATTGTTTTACGTTGATTTTACCTTAACTGTCACTGGTATTGCTCTATTGTAAGTGGGCTGACGAAAAAAATATCATTAACTAATGAATAAAAGGTAAGGGGCTTTATGTTATTTCAATTTTTGTTTTACCTGACAAAAAGAATCGAAGCTACTTCTTTTATATAAAAAAGAGAAAACCATAAAGTGCACTT